ATAATCTCGCGGATTTATTGGCAAGGGGTGGGTGGCGGCTGAATTTTTCGCCGGCGGCGAAGCGACGGGGCCCTCGATATACCTGTGGAGGGGAGAGGTGTAAACAGGATTTTGGCGGAGTCTTGTGAGCGGATGCGTGATCGATTTTTAAGCTAAATTTTTATACATACTTTTTATATCGATCTTGGTATCGAGGTCTAAGCAGCTCCGGTCGTTTTGCGTCAAAACTACGTCCAAAAAATTGACTTTGAAGAAGCTTCGATCGACTTTTAGGGGTCTTAGGTTTTCGGTATTTTTATATGTTTACAGATTTTTTTATATCGATTAAGGTATCGACGTTTCCACAGTTGGGTCGTTTCGCATCGAAATTTGACGTAAAACTCGTATTTTTAAAAATTTATTTTATAGGTGCTTTTTAGATTTTTTAGTATTTTTCTGTATTTCCTGGATTTTGTGGTCGATTCTAAACATCCCCACCGCCTCGGCAGAATTGACTAAAGCCGTTTTTCTAAAACGCGGATGCCTGCCCCGATTCTGGGGTTCGGATTACATGGTGGAATCGAGGGATCCGGGGAACATCCTCCGATTAGAAGCCGCCCCGGGACGTTCCTTGACCAAAATTTGGGGTGGAATCGATTTTTATAGGCGGTTGCTATATTGATTAACCTGAAAGGAGTTATATAAAGTTAAGGTACGCCAATTTTAATGCTAAATAAAATTTGACCATCTCGGTTTTGTCTTCGGTTTCCTAGAAAAGTTATAGGTATCAGGAAGGCCCAGGAAACAGCATACAGCGTAAATTTTATACAAACTTAAACTACCTGCTTAACTCTTAGAGTATTAGAAAAAATTCTACCATTAGAAGAACTATCTGGTTTCAAAGAAAATCCCGAACTTTGCATAGCCCCAATTTGCCGGGTTCTTCCTATTATCTATTGTTCCCCGGGCAATATCAAAGCCCCCCATTTTTAACGCGCTGATAGCGTTGAAGCTCTATCCATATTTCTTAGAAAAATGCCCGAACTTTGCATACCTCCCTCCTGCTAGGATCATCTGATTATCTCCGCCTCTCCTCCCATCCGAACATCCAACCCCTCTAACCTCAAGAGGCATCGCGTTTCAGAATCTCCCGATTCCCAATCCAAATCCTGACCTCTTCTCGTCCTCGTCCTCCTCCTCCGAAAACAGGGTGCGCGACGGCCGTAGAGAGCCGAGCTTCGGAGGGGCTGTTCAGCAGTGCTTCTGGCGGGCGCGCGGATTCAATTACGGCCCACGATACATACATGCCACCCCATCTTCTGCGGGCCAGCGAGCCTGCCCAGGCCATCTGCCCTCCTTACATACACAAAGGGAAGATTTGGAAGCGGAGCGGCGTCTTTTTGAGCCGAGGGGGGGTGGTTATTATTAGCTCTGTTAGGGGTGGGTAGTTGGCAACATTTTCGTCGGATTTTAAACTATGAGAAACCTCCATTCTGGGCTCCGCGTCCGAATTTTACGCCCAGACGATCCGCGTCGGGGTAAATGCGGATCGCCTGACCGGGGAAAGGTTTTTGGTTGATGTTGAGGCCCACCCCCACCTTGGCCTTCCTCCCCACCCTTACTTTCCCGCCCCACCGCTTTCCACTTCCTTCCTGTGTGCACTACACACTAAACACAACCAACACCCCCACCCCCACGATATTCGACACATCAAAACTCGTGCTCATTTTTGTGATACTTCTCGGGTCTTTTGTCCATGAGTTGAAATGTTGAGACGGGGTCAACAAGAAAATGGGCGCAGTGCGGAGAATTTTTGATTGTTTTGTCGAGAAGGCGCCGGAACTATGTGATGTATATTTGCTAATTTCTTGGAATGTTCTTTGACGTCAATTTATAGAGGTTGCTTAAGAAAAATTAGGCAGAACTAGATTTTATATTCCGCTATTTCATGCTGATTCTTTCGAGACACTTTGGAAATTGCAAACTAAATATGCTAATTTTTTTGCAAATTCTTCCATTTCATACCGTAGTTTAAGTCCGGCAGTCCAAAAACTTCTTTTGCGGTTTTTTTAGGTTTTTGAAGACTGAAAAACCATAGAATTCAATCTTGACGGGACTTAAATGAATTTTCATTATTTTAATGTATGTTTCTGGCGATCGTTTTCCTCCCTTTTAAACCACCGGGATTTTTCCAAACCCCTAAAAACCGCAGAATAAAATATTTGTGTTTCTCCCATCATTTTCGCACTTTTCCAGATGTGTTTTCATCCCCTGCTGCACCACCTGATCCACCCAAAATTCCATTGGCCCGTATCCGGAGATGCTTTTGACCAATTCGCCAGGCTCCGGCTAGGTGGAAAAGGGCTCGGAAGACCGGCGGCTCCACCCTCCAAAAATGGCCACATCTCATCGCTCCGCTTTGAGCGCCCGAAATATTGGGTTATTCCTCAAAGTCGTCGCATCCAGCAGAGGAGGGCTAGTGGAGGGGAGCAGACCACACCTACACGTGTGTGCCGCTTCGAGTCTGGTCTACACATGTTTTCCGGGCGACCAAAGACCGTTGTCTCGCCGGGTTCTATTTGTTTTCACGGAATTTAAGTTCAAAAAAATTCTGTTCTATATCTTCTACTTTTTAAAGTCTAAGGTCATTTTTCGTCGTTATTTTACTTGGGGATCGAGTCTGACCAAACAAGGCTTTTTCGAATTTTGCCAACTTTAAAGGACCTAGTAAGCCATAGGTATAACCCTCTTGCGCCAAGCAAAAAAACTACCTTGTAAAACTGCTTTTCGTCTATGTATTTTTAACCTATCCCATAGATTTCGGCGTTTACAGTGCATTTTTTCTCATTTTCTCATTTCGTGACCATAAGTATCTGTGGCGATGGCTTCTAGCTGTTTTAAAGGACCGCGCAACTGAAAATCATGATTTTCTATAGGTTTTGAGGCGCTCTTGACCTCGAGAAAGGATAGCTTACCATTTTACGCCTCTTTCTATTGCTTTCCAGACAATAATCTGACCTCGCAACCTTTCGGAACACTATTTTCATCCGTATTTTCTCATCTAATCCCCTTTTTGTCGGTTTCTTTGTGTGAGAAATTGGTTATCCGACCTTTCAGCCGCTTTCTTTCAGCTCGCATCCCTCAAATTGCTCGCTTCCAAATTCTTGCTTTTAAACGTCGTTTTCGACGTCATTTCAAATTTCGATAACATGTATTTCCTTGACTTGCATCTCCATTTTGGTGTCTTTTTTCTTGCCTCCATGCGGTTATTCTCATCTATTGCAGCTCCTTCACACCTTTTGCATGAACGCCACTCTACCGGCTGATACGGTATGGGACTCTCCTTACAGCATGCCGACGCAGGTCAGTCATTTTTAATGATGTTTTCACCTTTAACAGAATTTCTCTGAATGTTCAACATTTCCGGAAACCCTCCTAACTTTCCAAAGATCCGTTGGCCAGTTTTTTGTGACCTTCTGACCCCAGAACCGGGGATGTGCCCAAAAACTTTGTAATACGTTTATATTCTTCCGGTTATCCCTTGGCCTAGGGGGTTGTAGAACCAGGAAATGAACGCCCGCCGATTCCCCCCTTTTCCCGGATTAGTGTTTATTCCACTTTTTTGAGTTCGGTGGGGGCCTCGGGGCGAGATGTGGAATATTGAAGAGGTTTCTGGAAAAGCTCAGCTGCGGGAGGGGAAGAGCAACTTTGCACTCGATACCTCCACGGGGGGTTTCGCGACACGCAAATGTATCACTGGGACTTTGAGTTCGGGACGGGAAGTGCAAAATATTGAGAATTACGCGATGAAATTCGAATGTCATTCAGCTCCTATTCAGCACCCTTGATATCATTTAGCTCCTACTGTCATAACTTCGAACCGAATATCCTATTCATTAATACGAGAAACCTAAAATTTGATGTTTCGAACTTCCGGTTCCTTGAGTCAACGGCAAATTTCTTCTCGAAATAAACGGTAGATACGATGCATGCGTGGGCGATTTTCCACACTCAATACCCCCCTGGGAATCCGCAACTTTAAAATCTCAAAAATCGGGCTGTCGTCACGGGTGCTTCTGGCCGTCCGAGGCGGCCACAAGTCCATCTGATAGCCCTTTCCTCGCCCTTGCCCTCCAGTACAACTTCCGGAATCTAGGCGCGATTTGGTGGCAGCAAAAAAAAATTCAATTTTGGCCCACCCGTGGATATCAGAGGATTTGTTGATGATTTTATGATGGTATGACGGGAAGGATTTTTATTTTGTTAGATAAGAAAAGAAATAGTGGGGGACGGCACTATAATCTTAATATAGTGAACTCCCAATTATCGCGGCTCCACTCTCTCTCTCTCTCTCTCTCTCTCTCTCTCTCTCTCTCTCTCTCTCTCCCTCTCGTTCTCTCTCTCTCTCTCTCTCTCGATGTCAACCAAAGTCCCCAAAATTCCGAATAATGCCCCTGAAGAACGCCTCCTACCCCACCTTACCCACAAAAAACAGGCAGTAAAAGCACCAAAAGCCCTTCTCTTTTACTTTTCTTTTCTGCTTCTACTTCCAGGAAAAGCCTTGATGAAAAGTGTGTCTTTTGTGGGGGAACAGCCAGCAGTTTTGGGACTTTTCCGCTTTCTGTGGCGGGTGAATGATGATGGGGCTACATGGGGACCAGGCATCACTCAGATGAAAAGAGTAGCCCAGTGTACACAAATGATCGAATGGTTACCCAAAAATAGGGTCAATGAGGAAATGATGCCCGGGCGGAGGTGATCGAGTTAAAAGGGTATAGAAAAGTTGCGAGGAGTAGTCAGAAATAGCTAGAAGGTACCCAAACGAGTGGTACCAGCGGTGTGAATTCTAAAAATATGGAAAACACCTTTAAGTCAAGCAAATCACGCTTCTAAGATACCACTTAAGGCATCTCCTGATGCCATTTTAGCTTTATAATAAACCCCATTTTTTCCATTATTTTCAGATTTTCGTCTGGTTGGTGGTGGTCGTTTTGAGCTTGGAGACAATCCTCGGCAACGCCATGGTCATTATGGCATACAAAATTGAGCGAAATATCAGCAAACAGGTATCATTAACATTATAATTAATTCTTGGATATGCCACCGTCAGCAAAATGCATCTTTTATTGTCATTTAGGTGAGCAACCGCTACATCGTCTCGCTGGCCATCTCGGACCTAATTATTGGTATCGAGGGCTTCCCGTTATTTACCATATATTTTCTTAATGGTAAGAGCATTCAAAAAATAATAAAGATATCATTAAAATAATTTTTTGGATACCTTAAATATCGAAACCTGATTTTCCAGGAGATCGTTGGCCCCTCGGCTCGATCACCTGCGAGACATGGCTTTTTCTCGACTACACCCTGTGCCTTGTCTCAATTTTAACAGTACTTTTAATAACAGCTGATAGGTAACAACTCCATTAATTTCCACTCTCTTAATTTAGATACCTATCCGTCTGCCACACCGCCAAATACCTAAAGTGGCAGTCCCCAACCAAGACACAGGTACTTCCAAAGCTCCCCAGTTTTTGAAGGGTTTTTAGGTGATGATCATCTTGTCGTGGCTGATCCCTGCCGTCGTTTTCGGGATTATGATTTACGGGTGGAAGGCGATGACGGGCGAGGCAGACAGGTGAGGGAGTGGTCGATTTTTGAGGGGTCTTGAAGCTATGCATATTGCAATTTTAGTGTCAACGAAAAATGGTACAAAATAGTGTAAAACATCTGTTCTGCCCTTTTCCGGTTCTGTATAATCTTTTATATTAAAATTCAGTAGCATTGAACCTGTAGAAACTTAGCCAGAGAGTAAATAAGTTAAAAATCCCCTATTCTTCTGTTATTTAAAATTGCCGCATTTTTGTTTAGCTACTTACGTTTGTAAATCTTCTCTTTGTACGAACTCACGGAATACGAAAAATATTTCTCAAAATTAAGTAATTTAGCATGCGAGGCTATGAGTGTTCGGCTCCCTTCCTCGCCAACCCGTATGTCAACATGGGGATGTACGTCTCCTACTACTGGACGACGCTTGTGGCGATGTTAATATTATACAAGGTGTGCTTTCTCTCTCTCTCTCACTCTCTCTCTCTTACGCTCTTTCTCTTCCCCTCTCTCTCCCCCTGTCTCTCTATCTCTCTCTCTCACGCTCTCTCACTCTGGCTCTTACGCTCTTTCTCTCTTCCTCTCTCTCTCTCTCTCTCTCTCTCTCTCTCTCTCTCTCTCTCTCTCTCTCTCTCTCTCTATCTACCTATCTCTCTCACGCGATGCAAATGCTGAAAACGACCTCGTGTCGCGATCTTTGGTCAGAATTCTATACCACTTATACTTGAAGGCTTTATGCACTCGAGAAGAACACCTATCGCTCATCCAAAAAGCCTCTTTACCCCTAAAAAGAGGCTTCTGGGATGATGAACTTTTCGTGCGTCACCCCACCCTCTCTACAGCCACTTGGCCAGGGGGAATCCGATTGGAAAACTCGGGGAATTGAAGGGGCCACTTTTCGGGAGTCAACAACAAATTTTTTAGGGCATCCACCAGGCCGCGAAGAATCTGGAGGACAAGGCCAAGGCAAAGGAACGCCGGCATATCGCGTTGATATTGAGTCAACGGTTGGGGACGCAGGTATTGTTCAAAAATCAGGGGCTACCCAAAAAATGGAATTAACAAACTAGAGGGATTAGCTTAATTTACACGACACTATCATCCAATGTATCCAACCATTAGAATACTTCCAAACCCAAGCCGGATCTTATTTTTTTTAACTTCTTCTAGTTTTCCACCTTTTCCGCCGATTTCCGACATAGTGCGCCGGTCACCCCGCACTTGAGGTCAGCTGCCCCGTCCAAGAAAACATATAGACAAAAATGTCCTGGAAGAATAAGGGGGTAGCAGGTCCACATCCCAATTCAGCGTCGATCAGCCGTGCCCAAATCGGAGGCCAAATGGGCCCCCGGCTGGGCCCCAGAAATGTTTTGGTCTGGCCTGGAGGCCTGGTGGGGGTTGGAATAAATTGTAGGGGTCGAAAAAACGTGAATTACAAGTATTATCAGTGCGAACGTTTCTCGAAGGGTCTTGGCTAGACTCCGCTGAAGATTCCTAAAAAGTCGCTGCTGGTTTTTTAAAGAAATTTCTCAAATTCTCGTCATTAACACCTAGTCATTAGTGTCGCAAGTTTCCCAAACATTCTTTGCTAGCTTTCCCCGTCAGAATTTCCAATAAATGCTGCTAGCCTGCCTGGCAATTCCCAAATGATCCCTGCTAGCCTAGCCCTAACGGATTCGCCATATAGCTTTCCCAGACGGCAATACAAGAAAAACCAGCTTCCCCCCCCTGGCACCCAGATTTGGATTAGAAGCCGTTGATCTTTCTGGTGCAGGATTACGGGAATAGCTGACGCACCGAGTTATAGCTCATGGTGATTCCAGAAATTGGTGGTGGAATAGGGACAATAATAAAAGCTGTCTCTCAACCCAAAAACTGGATACTTTCCAGGTCGGCGTCTCCCTGATGCTCCAACAAGACAAGGAGCGCGAGAAGAAGATGGAGCTGGTTGGAACATCAAAGTTTTCTAAGTTCAAATCACTTTAGGAAGGAGCAGAGGCAGACACGAGAGATAGCGCCTATGCCACGCAGACGACAGCTATTGTGAGTTTTCCAGCGCCGCTGCCAAAGATCAGACAAGTGGAAGCGTAGTCCCCGCAAAACAAGTCTGTCAATAATTCAGCGCGTAGTGAGTGACGTTGAAATCGGGCGCTGGAACTTTGTCAAAAATGAGGAAGCAGCTTTCCTACAAAAAAACTCTTCCAGCTCTCCTCCGCCAATGCCAGCGACGAATCTCGCGGCCACTTGGAGAAAATCGTGGAAGTTAGGTCACCCGAATCCACGCCAAAATCGCACAAAAAGCTTTGGAAGCGAAAATCCAAAGATGTGAAGGAGAATGGGACAAAGTCCAGTCGAAAAAGTCGCGGAAGCCAAGAGAGCCGGGGCAGTAAACTCTCGGAACCGACCTACAGTCGAAGGGGTAGCGCCGAGGAGACGAATACGGTAATCTGCTCGCGGGCCTTAAAACCTTAAGATTTTAGAAAACAAAGACAGATCGACCGACCCTCGATCCCGAAGAAGAAGAAGAACGAACCGATAATGAGGAGGATTCGTTGTTGGGAGAGCTCGAGAGTACGCCAAGCCGACATAATAGCCGGAACAACAACCGGAATAGTCAGAGGTACGCCTAGAGACCAGATAAAACGAGTACTTTCTTAGGTCCGCCAAATCTCCAGCGATCGAGGGGAAGAGTGACCTGTCTGAAATTCCGGAGGTAAAGGCTCCTTCAGAACCCTTTAAGCAAAATTCAGGAGCGTAAGGATTCTCTCTCGCTGCTCTTCAACGAGGAGGATATGTCTTCGGTGTTGAGGTTCAAGAATCCAGCATTAGCACGAGTCGACTCGATCAACGATTCCGAATGCTCTTCTTCGATTCTTCAGCTCAATAACAATAGGCGGCACCGGGTGAGTGCCAAACGATTATTTATTGTATCCTACCGTATCTTAAAGTAAAAGTGCTGTTTTAGAAAAGCTCCAAGAAGCGATCGGTGAGGATATGCAAACGAGTCGAAGAGTTGCGAGGCGAATCCAGACCTATGCTACACGAGGTAATGACTTTCCATACTTTATTAAAGGGATGCCCAACCTTTTCGGGGTTCAAAAAGCAAAAACCATGCCGCGGGCGGGGGGTCGAACCCGGGAGCCCAGTTTTGTAGGCCCGGATGGTATCCATTAGGCCATAGTGGCTAGCGATTGCTTGGGATGGGGACGGCACGAGAGGGAAAAGGTGTCCGAATTCTGTGCGGCACTGGCGCCTCATTGCCGCACAAATTTCCCGTGTCATTTGTATTGCCCGGAATACATAACTATATATTTGCCACCAAAACCTTGGGTATCCCTTTAAACGTACACTACTCCAGATTCCAAACGACGCTACCCGATTGAGTGCCTCTGAGGTGACAGCCGAGAAATTGACGCCCGATCGTGAACGATGGGTGTCGAGTATGAGAAGAAAGGTAAAGACATCAATAGCGCTCACGCTCTCTACTTTTCGAACCTTTTAAAACTAGTCAAACTCTCCTAATTCAAATCACGCCCCCTATCTCTTCTAGCTCCCCCGTTTCATCACCCACTGGAAGGTAAGAGCGCTCGCTAGGAAATCCGGGGACCCAGAATGTGGCCTGTACCCTGGCAGTCAACTGTTTGCCCGAAATAGTCCCCGAATATGTATCGATAAAAATTACAATATCTCTCCAAAAACAGCACAAACTCTTTAGGTAGCCCGTGCCCTCGAAGGAACCCGATTTACCGCACCGCCTCGTCGGCGAAGCATCAGCGAGAGCAGGTAGCTTGTGAAAAAGTTTGTAAAAGTCACTGGGTCAAAAAAATGCATTGAAACCCGGTGACTTCTACAAAGCTTTCCGCGTAGAACTGGACAGGTTCCGGGCTGATCTCGCCGAAAACAAAGTGACTATAGACCGCTGCCATCAGCCCCATATAGACAGCGAAGGTATAGAAAACAAGCCGGGAGGCTTACACATCTACTCTCCTTGAACCTACATCTATCTTTCGGGTTCTCTCACTGCTTCCACTAAACCAACTTAAAACTCTGTTAACATATACCTTTCGGATCACTACACTTGTCATCGCCAATCTATCTAAAAAAGACCGAAAAATCGGCAAATGGCCAACTAGCAGCGATTCATTGAGAAATCGCATGTCTCTAAAAAATTCTCGCGTTTCCCTGCAGCGACGCCTTCACCCACGATATCACCCATATGTATGTAAAATAGCAAACTTCTCAAAAAAAAACATTGTATACTACGAGTTGCACAAAACAGCGGTGACTTCTCTCAACTATCAGTTCGTTAGACAAGGGCTAGTGATAACCACGAGGTATGATGTTCAGATTCGAATCAAACACCATCAATTTGGATTCAAAAGCGTCGAATCTGGACATCATCACCAAACTAGCGTCTCCTAATGCACCCTTTTTAGTACATCCTCTTCGTCTGGTGAAAATGAGGAGGATTGCGCGCGAAAAGCCGCTTCTGCCTCTCCGCCCAGGGACAAGGAGCCGAAGCACTTGATGGCGGTTGCAGGGCATACACATTCTACGTTACTTTCCCCTGGACAGTAAGTTAGAGTACGTCAAAGAGCAAAAAAACTACGTTAATTAACGAACGACAAATCAATAAAACATTTAGACAAGCCCGAAAAGGCTCGACGTTCTCGATCGTCAATCGTGAACGGGTGATAAACTCTATATTCTCGCCCGTATCGTTTTTCAACAAGCGCCGAAAGCAGACGAAAGCTGAGAAAAGGGCTCACAAGGTATCAAATCCACAATTGAGCAAAGATTAACACAATTTTTCAGGCGTTCCGTACGATCACCTTTATCGTCGGCTGTTTCGCCATTTTGTGGTCACCGTATTACGTTATGGTAAGTGTAAATCGACCCCAGCGCGTTTCTAAAGGCCCCAGGAAGCAAAGTTCTAGTAAAAATGGTAAGCAGATACTTAAAAACAATGAGTTCGAACTTGTTATGCCGCATTTTCCAGCTTTTCCGGCATTCTTACAACATTTTTAGGCGACCATCTACGGGTTCTGCAAGGGAGAGTGCATACCATCGCTGCTCTACACCCTCTCCTATTATATGTGCTATTTGAATAGCAGGTTTGAAAGATCAATAAGGAGAAAATTAAAGTACGATTTTAGCGGTAACCCATTCGCCTATGCACTCGCCAACCGGCAATTCCGATCAGCGTTTATGAGAATGTTGAAGGGCGATTTCAACCCCAGGCGATGACAAATCGAAAACTAGCCTGAAGTTTTTTGAATGCATCGAAAAACGTGAAGTTTATCGTCGCGGAGAGTTCAGCTATTTTAAAATTTAACCGAGACTTTTAGAATTCAGAATTGGGCATATTTGTATTGAAACCGCTGCTTTCACACCTAATTAAATTATAAATTAAAAATAGGCCGTTCAAACTTCTGGTCGTTTTGCAGATGCATTCAAAAATTACTTTTTCTTCTCACGGGTCGATTGATCTCCATACCCTCGGTTTTGCCAAAATCCCATCCCCTAAATCACATATCGGAGATCAATTTTTAAATCACTTCTAAAGAAATATTTATCTTTTATTTTCTTCGCCCCGAACAGCTGTCTGTGCCAAAAATAATATTACGGTTATTCCCCGACCCAGAGATTCCAAGTAGCCCATTCGCATGCAATTCCCCCTCAAGCGCTTTATCAGCCAACTAATAAATATTTATCACAAGTATCACTACCAATCACACATGTTGCACGAGAGATAAAGGTATTACAAACCCAAGGGATTAGAGCTATTACACCATGAAAATGCACACGATTCTGGGGGAAAATATCACAGCCGAAGAAAGGTCAATAAATATGTATAAGGCTCCCGGGAATTAAAGTGAGGGTACAGAAGGCAGGGGAAAATAGGGGAATAAGCGAAAAGTGAATGCCGAAAGCTTAAGCGCGAAAAACATATCATTTCAAAAGTTCTTTCACTTCCTCGGGGGTTTTGTGGGGTAGTTCGCCGTATCCGTTGGCCGGGTCCTCGATTTTGCGCACGATCACCGAATAGGCGGCCACAACATTTTCCGCCGTTCGTTGGGAGATGGATTCCCTAAAAAAATACAAAAAATCAGATATATTTAAGAGGAAAGTACCGAATTCTCGTGCTGCTGACACGCGCAATCAGGTCCAGGCGGAAGCGGTCAGCGTGGGCCAAGAAGTTGTCGAATGAGCTGATGGCCGAGGTGAGGGCGGCGGCGTCGAGGCCAGGGATCGCTGACATTGGGCCCTAAAAAGCATAAAGAATATTAAAAAAAAACGTAAAATAATATGCAAACACATGTCAATCAAAATATTCATACCTGCTGTGTCGTATGGGCGGCTGCCTTCTGGTAGATGACCGAGAGTGACGTATTCGTGAGGATCGCTGAAGACTCTTCGGAGACGAGCACGTCCTCATTTCCTTCAATCTGAAAGAGTATGAATTTGCTCATTTCTATCTCTTTCTTAATTTGATATTTCTGTTTCGGGATTCTATAAAGGCTCACCAACGCGCGCAGCATCTCCAACCGCTCGTCCGTGTATTGGTACAGCATCACAGAGCTCTAAAGAATAACGAAATCTGGCTAATTGTAATAAAACCAACCTGGATGACAGACAGGCAATTCAAAGTGTAGACAGCGACGTCAAGCCCAGACGCCAATTGTGTGGCTACCAGTTGAACGGACCGAAGAAGCGGGTCCAAAATACATGCGAAAATCTAAAAACTTTTGATCGTAATTTTTCTTTTTTTTACCTGTGCAAACTGCTCTTTCGGATTCTCGACAGTCATGGCCCCGTTGTGCGTGTCGAGGACGTCTTTTAGCAAATTGAGCAGCTGCTGGACGGCCGGAACTGGGAGCAAATCGTAGTCGGGTGGGCCCATCTAGCAAATACAAAATAACGATAAATTACGGTAACAAACCCGGTTCAAGATGCGTTGAACTGTCGTGGTCAGGCCGGACATGAAGATGTTCGTGGCCAGCTCTTGCAACTCGCGAATGCTTTGACAGAGCTCGGACGTATCACCGGTTAGTGTCCTAAAAATCATTATAATTTGTTTTTCGGGCACCTACGCAAATTTCGACAAGTAGAAACCGAAAAGGCCCTTGACCTTGTAGACGGTGACCGCATCCGCTTCCCCGGAACCCAACGATTGCTCGACACGCACCTATACATCGAGAATTTGAATAAAGTTTTCAAAAATACCTTAAAAGGCCGGCACAACGAGCTGGAGACCTGGGAGAGCACATCGATTGTAGAATTCACTAAATTCCAAATTTAGAACAAAAACAAAACCAAAAACAACCTTCAGATCGACAATTTTTCAAAAGCCCCGCCAGAAGGTCGCGCTCATTTTCGATGGCTTGATACATCCAGGCCAGCATGTCCCCGACGTAGCGCAGCGGCTCGTGGCTAAACCCAATCCGGGTATCCGAAAACTGAAACAGATTACCTCAGCATTTCTATCGGCTTTCCGCCATTCCCACCGCGGGTCAGGGCTTCCAAGTAGATTCTGAAGACCAAAAATATCATAAATTCATTCAAACACGTACCGCAAAATTTGATTCTTCCTCGACAGCGCAAATTCGTCCAAGGCGTACTTGAACAAGACTTCTCTAGACAATAAATTTGTCAGTTAAAAATGGAAGCTATTTACCTCTCTTGCAACGCGGAAAACGATTGGATGAGAATCGGCTTAATATCGGTGAAATCACTGGTAAGAAGACGGCATTCACCTAAAACAAATGTTTTGAGACTTAGGACGTCTCATACGTTGAATGGATCGATAGAGGACTTCGTAGGCTTTTTCCAGCCGGCTTGACATGTCTTCCATAACCTAAAAAAGCCTATTTTGAAAGAAAAGGCGAAATATACCTCCAAAGCTGCCACGTGTTCATTCGACGTGCGCACCAGTTGCTTGCTCTCATTGTAGATCTGCTGCACATGCTCGAGGGCTAGGAAGAAGTCGGGCGAGACGGTTCCATCTAAAAAAATGACTCCGCCAAAAATAGCTAAATCATACCATTTTGATCGCCGACAAGCGCCCGCTGTTCTTTTTCAGTCAAAGAGAATTTGTCCAAGAATTCGTTGACGATTGAAGCCTTTGCTTCCAAAAGCGTCCTAAAGCACGGTACATTTGTACACTGATATTCGCTTACATTTTTGATCGAATCGCATTGGTTTGCGCTAAAAAGTGCTCCGTTTTCTCCTTATTTTCGGCTATCGTCTTCGTCAGCACATCACAGAGCCCGCGCATTTGCTGGGCCTTCGAGTGGATTTCTTGGACTCTGGTGTTCAACTAAACCAAAATTTTTGTGGCACGCCTTTTTATACCTTATGCAGATGATCCAGTTTGTTTCCATATTTAGACAACAAAGCTTCATCCATCGTGCGCTCGTAGGCGATCGGTGAGGTGAGCGGGTGAAATTCGGTTGGAAGCGGTAAATGGCGGACGACGGCCAGGGCTTCTTGGTAGAGCTCGGCCTCACGTTGGAATTCCTGAGAAACACATAACCATTTTTTTAATTCGAGCCGTACCTCGTCTTTGAAATCCACTTTCTTGCACGCCGAAATGATCGATTCCACCTTCTCCATCAGCGGATCCGAGGGCCGGGCCCTGGCTGGTGGGGCTGACATCACACCAAGCTTCTGAAATTTATTATTGTACTAAAATTTGGTTCTTTGGCAAGAAAATGAATGTGAGATGATCAAGTGAATCTAAGAATGCATGAATATTCACAACCAGGCTAGAGTAGTCAATAGCTCTGAATTTCTAACAAAGCTAATCACAATTTTATAGCTACATTTTGTACATTTTGTAATCTACATGCCTAGATTCCGTAGTCCCTAAACTTGCGCACTAGTGGCGTTTCATAGCGTTCACCAGGTTCTCTAAAATTATCGTGTATGTTAGTCTCTGCAGGTTTGTTTATTTCAACCATTTGTTGCTTTGGTGCAGCGGCCCAATGCATAGATTGTCTAATCGCTTCCTGGTTTCTAGCAAACTCCTCAAAATCGTGTGGTAGGGGAGAATCTAACCAAAGCTCATAAATTCTTCGTTTCGCGGGGTCGGCGAGGGTTTCGTAAGCTGTTTTGAGTCGGACAAATGCATCATTATCTGCAGTAGCATCAGTAGTTTTGTCAGGGTGAAGCGCACGAGCTTTTGCGCGATATTCAGCGGTGATCTGTTCGGTGGTGGAGTTTCGGCTGCAGCCAAGAATTTCATACAGCTCGGGCGCCTTTTTATTAGCACCGGAGAGAATTGAATCTACGACGGATTCCATCCTGGAATGGATAAAAAAATTTCTGATTATTTGGATGTGATTTACATGTTATTGATCCTACTAATGCTTTGCTGAAGATATTTGCGGTTTAAAACCCGTCGTGAACAGAACACTGAACAATGTCCCTGGCATAAATTTATCGGATTCGCAGCAACTCAAAGTGGGAAAATTTTGAACCGGAAACGGAGATGAAATGGAATAACGGGCTTTGGAGGAAACGCGTCAGTGGCACCAATGAATTTAACAATTTAGAACCTGAACGAAACTAGGAATGAGTAAACCAGACATCAAAAATTAGGGAGATTTGCTGAAAACAATATTTGCAGATTTTGTTAAAAATGGGTGAGAACGGAGGGATGGCCTAAAGACGAAGGGACAGAAGAAATACGTAACCTTGAGCTTAGCAAATAGGCACGTGGGAGAAGAGGTAGGAGACCGATTCGCCGTTGTGGGTACGGCGGATGGCCTCGGCGAGGATCATGGAGATATCGATGCACTGGATCTTGGGGCATTTCTTCATGTTCTCCTCCTGCGGGATGGTGTTGGTGACGACAACAGCCTCGAAGGCAGAGTTGTTGAGGCGCTGCAGAGCGGGCCCCGAGAAGATGCCGTGGACGCAGAAGGCGTACACCTGAAAAATAGCATAGTAAAAAGTCAATTCATGAGCGATAAAACTTTTTAAATAATAACTACCTTATCCGCGCCAGCCTCCACCAGCTTGTCGGCGGCCAAACAGATCGTACCGCAAGTGTCAGCCATGTCATCAACTAGAATGGCGACCTTCTCGGCGACGTTGCCGACCAAAGTCATCTTCTCAACCTCGTTGGCGCGCTTACGCTCCTGAAAAAAACTATATAATAACCGAAAGTAAACTACTGGCCTTGTGAATAAGTGCAAACTCGACGTTGAGCCGATCGGCCATCGAGGTGACACGTTTGGCTCCTCCGGCATCCGGGGAAACGATGACCGACGACTGCCAGTTGGGGATCGACTCGCGGATGTACTTGAGGATGGCCGGCTCGGCGTAGAGGTTGTCCACCGGAATGTCGAAGAAACCCTGGATCTGTGAAGCGTGGAGGTCCATCGTGATGATGTGATCGGCGCCTGAAAAGAGATAATAAACTTAGGACTGCAGGGAATCCAGTAATGCAACACCTAACTATCCAAAAACTCACCAGCAACTGACAGCATATTGGCGACAAGCTTGGCCGAGATCGGGGCACGAGACTTGTCCTTCTTGTCCTGACGAGCGTACGGGAAGCACGGGATGACGGCGGCAACGCGAGATGATGAAGCTATCTTGCACGCGTTTATCATGATGAGCAGCTCCATCAGGTTGTCATTGATTTCACCACAAGCCGATTGGATGATGAAGACATCTTCGCCACGAACCTACAAAACAAAATTATGAAAATTTTCACTAAAAAAACAGACTTCTCACTATCAAAGAAAAAAACCGGCGCTATTTCAGTTTACCGGCCCCACTTGTATATGGCCAAAATGACATTTTTCTGGGTCAGTTTTTTGCGCTGGTTACGAAAAAAGACACCCCAGCTCGTAAAAATGCAATCTAATGAAAAAAATTTATTTTTTTACCAAAATCTAGAACGCCAAATCGTGAATTTTGAGGGGAGAAAACACTTAATTTTCGGTTTTTAAAGGGGCTTGATGCGGGAGGCCTGTAAATCAGTGGAAAAGTTTTTTCCAAGAAGGCTGAGCGATTGCCCGCTTTTTTTCCTAAAAATAAGGCTTCGTGCCACCCCGAAGCGACGGCCCGCCTTGCCTGACAATGCTACTGGCTTACTTCATTCATGATAAACCCGTTTTTGGCCATGATTTAATTAAAAAAACACAAAAATACTCCTTTTACGCGACCGCCGCAAAATCGAATTTTCCCAACATTCCAATTAAATTGTTTTTCTAAATCGCATTTTCGTGGGCCGGGATATATCCCGGTCACTATCGATAGTGTTTTTCGTAACCAGCGCAAAAAACTGACCCAGAAAAATGTTATTTTGGCCATATATAAGTGGGGCCGGTAAACTGAAATAGCGCCAAAAAACCTACCGATTCCCCAATCTCCACATTCGTTTCGCGGTTCGAGAACTTCTTCAACGAGGCCTTGCTGACATCGAGCTGCAGCCGGTCGCAGATGCGGGCAGCCAACTCTGGGTGGGATGAGCCGGAGAAGATCTTGATGTTCGGCATCCTGGGCTTGTTGGCGTTGTCCGTGTCCTCCTTGACCGTATCCGTCTCCAGATCCCTGGCAAAGGCGAATTGGTTGGTATAAGTGAAGGGAAACAAAAAAGAAACGGGGAGGAATAAGCTGGTAAGAATAGTGACCAGAACCCCGCCGAGGCTGAAAAACGCAAATCTCAGGGATTTATACGAGTGGATCAAGGAAAAGAGATAAAAGTATAACCTTAGTGTTCATAAAAATGTTTACTCTGTTAGAGTCTAAAAACAAAACCCAGAAGGTGTCTGTCCCGGTGGGCGGGCTACGCCGGGCTCCAAACTACGGCGGGCGGATAGCCAGGCCTCTCGTGGCAAAACTGGGGATGAAGCTGAAGATTTGCCGAAACAGGCAACCCGTATTTAACGCCCCTTCACGCCCTTTCGCGCCCTCCTGTATTTCGCGCCCCCTGTAAATAACGCCCCCTGTATCAACGCCCTCCAAATGATCACGAAAAGGTTTACAGGAAAAAGCTCGTTTTGCAGGGCGTTATTTACAGGAGAGCGTTAAATACAGGGGGCGCGAAATACAGGGGGGCGTTATTTACAGGAGGGCGTGAAGGGGCGCGAAAGGGTGTGGGTGGGTGTGGGAAACGGGTTGCCGCCGAAAGATTACTATTTTTCAGTGAATGAAGGGGATTACGTGAATATTGCTTTATGTATAATTAACCTACAGACGCATGAAAAAAACGAAAAGCCAAGACTAAAACCAGTGCTGTTTCTAACCGACATTAAAAGGAAAAAATCAGCTTTTATTTTTTAAAAACAACGATCCAGGCACCTATTTTCTTGTAAACCCATGACCGGAAATCAACGGGGCGCAAGGCGAAAACATTTGTATGCCCTCGTAGTGGACCCATAGCAACGCAAAAAAAAAAAAATGTTTTCCAGACATTTCCCGGACTGACTCATGTTTTTTTTCATTGGCCATCTTGTCGCCGTGTAAAAAATGTTTTGACTGGCGGGCAGCTAGACGCAACGTGCCTGACCCAGACGGCCTGGTATCTGGAGCGATAAAACTTGAGCGCTATCGGGGTAGATAGATAATTGAGTCGTAGTAGTAGTGGGGGGTATGTGGGGTAATCCTGGGATGCAAGATAGTGTCTTCCAAATGACGTCAACGGGGTTCAAAGTGCAAAGATCGCGAGAGTCTGGGATCTGTTGATTGGGGTCAGGTCGCAGATAGCAGGGATTGGTGTTTTGAGCTTTGAGACTTGGCATTATATTTGTGCCAATCACGACTAGAAATGAGTTTTTGGGTGCTTTCATATTTATGGTATTAAAGTAGCTGATTTTATTAATCATTATATGGTTTTGGCGAATTTTTCGAATATATAGGACTGGCTTTATGGTCTTGGCGTTCGATTTGAACTCAAGAATGGCCATCAGAAACTTCAAACACTTTCCTATATAACTCATTTAAAGCGCTAATTTTACTTATCATTACAGCTTGTTTCAAATGGTTTTGAGAGATCCTGAAAAATAACTGTTTATTAGTTACCCGCTTGCAAGGCTAGGTTCACTGCACTTTCAGGAAATTAAATTAGGACACGGAGCAAAAAGAATTGGAGTAGAACGAAAAGGACTTACAAGGAGACGTTTTTTAGTGTGAATGGAGTTTTAAGTTGAAACTAGGCCTATCCTGTGCAGAATTTTGCGCTGATTCCGATACTGTTTTCCAATTTTGCTAAATAGCTCGATTTAAAAAGTTACAGCTATTTTAAGATAATTTTTCGGCCCGGAGTAGCCATATGCTATGCTGTGCTACTTTTTTGTTATAATGTTCTAATTTATTTTAAGTAGCCTATCTTGTAGAGAATTTTTTTTCTGATTCGAATGGTATGTTTGATTAGTGCGCTACTGCCGATCGACGATGGCTTACAGGGGTGAGAAATAGGCCGTTTTTCACCATTTCCCATACAAAAATCGCAGGGCATCGTCGATTTTTTCGATTTCCAACAATTTTTTGTTAAATAGCTCATTCGATAGAGAAAATTGTTCTGAATACGGTGACGATATTTATTTTTGGAAAAACAGCTGCGAAAAGCAACATAATGGTCCCTAAAGAGGGGAAAATTTGGGCTAAAATGATCTTAAAATTGCTGTGACTTTTGAAATCGAGCTATTTAGCAGAAATGGAAAACATATTCGGAATCAGCGCAAAATTCTGCACAAAATTGGCCTGGTTTCCACTCAGAACTCCATTCACACCAAAAAACGTCTCCTTGTTAGTACAAAATATAAAAATCGAAGAAAGGCATGGCAATTTGAATCCAGGGGCCGGGTGGTCATCTAGTTGCGAATGTGTGGGAATGCGATAAGAGGGGAGAGGTGGGCGGGGAGGGCAGATGAAGAGGGGCAGGGCACGCAGATAAGAAAAACGAAGGGGCTACTAATTCAAGAAAAGGGGAATTATGGACTGAGGGGGCAACGAGGGGAATAAGATAATCACAGGGTGCAAAGTTTTGGCATGAGAGCCCGGGATATATGATATGATTATTGCTTTCTTTATTCTTTGGTCCGGTGAGTGCGGAGTCTGAGGGGCACGCGTTCGCACGGGTCGAGCATGGAAATCATTTGGGGTAGGAGGACGAGGCCGTGGAAAAGGCCGATGATGTTCACCAACCAGACGGTCTGAAATAAGTTATTTTGGCGTTGAATTTCATAAGTCGTTGTAAACACTTATGAAATCAAATTAAAAAAAACTAAATTAAAAATCACTTTTCACGCTAGCAACATCTGGCTGTGCTTTTTTTGACATAATACGCTTTAATCTTTTTGCGTACCTGGAAAAACACTCGAATAAGATAAGCGGGGACCACGATCAGGCAAACAGTGGCTGATAGCGTAGATCCGACGGCCTGCATAATTGGCCAGGCGACGGAGGCCAGCGTGTCTCTCACCTAAACCAAATTTTCTTATATTTTTTTACCGTTATCTATGAATTCTCGGCTCATTTTTATCGCGTAATCGATTTAATGCATCTGACTATATAATTTCGTATTTGCACTGAAAGAGCGTATAGCGGGTTCTGCGGCCATGCTTGTCCAAGAAACGCCGGGGGATTTCCCGGTCTTTTCCGGTGGCCCGAGCACTTTGACCACAGCCACCCGTTTTCCCTCCCAATGCCAAAATATCGACCTTTTCGTCGGCACGCCGGGCCTCCGATCGGTGATAGCGATAGCAGATGTGGATGGAATAGTCGACGGCTAGACCGATGGCCATTACGATGCAGCCCATTGACACTGAAAAATGGCGGTTATTTCCGGAAACTATAGCTTTTTTCAGTGGGAAATATGAATTCCAAGCTTGATTTGTTAAAAAATATAGAAATATTCACAGAAACACAGCTTGCTCTTCTAAACTTGGTTCTAACCACTTACCAGAGTCTAAATCCGAGCCTGCAAGGGCAAGTCCACCGCAGACACCCATCGAGATTGAGAGCAGTGACCAGGTCATGATGAAGACGGATTGCTGAAAAATATCTATAAAGTCGATTTACAACGCCAATTTTTTCGAACGTTATTTACTTTGCTGATTTTATGCTTTGATGCTCTTTTTTGTCAAAGACATCTAGGCGATTCACCTAGTTTCCCAGGCCCCCGGATCGACATTCGTCGTCGTATGGCTCTTTGACTGGGCCGCCGTTGCACTTTAGGACGTGCGCTCTGACGGTCAGCTGGCAATAGACCCAAAAGCTGGGGGACCGACGTTACTATACCCAAAAAGCAAATCTATCTATTTTCAACCGAATTCTGATGACGTCCTATTAACATACCGCATCAGGCAGGAAGAAGAAGCAGATGATCTGCATCACCAAAAGCGCGCAACCGACAGTCTGCATAGATGAGGGAGCGATCGTTCGGCGCTGATCGATGAGGAAGGGACTAAAATCGGCTGATAAAATATGTAAGGTACATAGGGCATAGATAAAGGTATATCAGTATGTACAGAAAATTCGCAACTATTTGATCCAACCTGAAGATGCCAGCCAAAAAGATGTCAAATTCAGGGTACTCCGAGATAATTTCTCGCCAGTGGAACAGCTCGGATTGTCGTTTGTCCCAGGAGTTCAGGCCGTAGAACGAGGTCTCAAATGGGCCCTTGTATTTTTAAAGTGCCCACTCATACCTGGAAAGAGAAGGCGGTAATGCAAGGCTCGTTTCCGGTAGCATTGCTGTTGATCTTGACCTTGTCTATAAAGAAAACTTAATGATTTCCAAGGACTTATACCTCTGTACTGCACATAGTCCATCTGGTTGAAAAAGTTCTTCATGTGCTCCTTGCTGTAGAACTCGTTATAGCCAATCTCCGGGAAGTCGTTGAGGTAATTTTGATATTCCCAGATCCACAGGTTCGTAGATACCTAACCATTCTGATACAAAAATACTTCCCATACGCACTTACACGTCCGATGGAGTAGTTGGTGTGCTCGAGTCGGAAGACAAGTTCATTGAACTTTGCTCTTTGGGTGGCATCACGGAGGTCAGGTGGGTTCATGACGTGGAATGAGGGCATGACGTTGTCGGCCCAGATGTATTTGTCTAAATAATTAGAGTTCGTTTCGTTTAGGAAGCTTATTTTCGTGAGTAAGTAAGTAAGAATAGTAACTTACCAGCCAGCCTGACGAACGTCTGAATTGGCGAGTTGTCACGAATGTATTTGACTGGCGAGATATCGACCTAGAAAAAAAATAGATTTTTTTATGATAAGTGCTTTTCTAACCGCCTATTTCCTAAAGGTATCGCTGTATTACGTTAACATACCCTCAATATACAACATCCGTACATGCCAAGGGCAGCGTAGATAGCGAAAATGGCCCACGAGGCGACCTTCACGTCCTTTCTCAAAATGAACGGAGCGTAGACATCACGGAACCAGCGGTGCATGTAGGGAACTAAAAGTATCAACTGTACGTTCCACACCAATTAACTCACTATTTGCGGCCTTCGCGTGGTGGTTAGGGTCGATATCATCGGAATCGACCGAGTCGTCTGAACATTCTTGCGACTCTGCTCCACCCTAAAAACGGCATGAAGACTTTTCAGCTTTTAGGATAGCCAGCGCGTTAACTTCATTAAATATTTAAACTTAGTTAACCTCGTTAACTTACAGCTTCAATGGCCTTGGGCAGAATACAAGGGCAGCAGCAACCACAACGCGTGTAGCAGCACATCGAAAGCCCTCCATGCTTCTCATTCCGCCCGGAGAGCGTGATGACGGCGGCGAAGAAGGTGATCTAAATGCCTTTATCTTAATTCGCGCTGCGGTTGCTCACCTGCATGATGTAGTCGAAGATGACTCCAACGGAGGTGATCAAGCAGAACTCGGCGACGGCCGGGGTAGAGCAGAGGTAGTATCCGAGGCCTGAATTTGCAAATTAACAGCGTTAGGACTTGGATCCTAGGTATCGATCTGAACGCACCGAAGCAGAAGAAGTTGGTGAACGAAGTAAAAGTGATCGAAGCCCCAGCATCGGCCATCACCAACGCAACTCTCCTCCTAACCGACATCTTTGGATCCAACTCTCGCCAGGCGGCCATCATGAGGAAATCGTCGTCCACACCTGAATCATATAACGATGAGGTGAATTTGTTCCGTGACAGACCTATAGCCAAAATCAAGAACGGCATGGTTGAGGTGACCGGGTTGAACTTGACGCCACAGGCGAAGAAGATGCCGAAGGTTTGGATGAGGGCAAAGATAATGCACCACACCCCCATGCACATCTCCAGCGGTTTGTTTCTAGAAATTGAGGGGCTAGGACTGTTTTGGGGAGAATAAATTATGGATGGCATTGGACCTACTTCCTGATGTTGGTACTCCAGTTGGCGAAAATCACGAAGAGGGTCAGACAGATGGTCGATGGGAAAGCATAGGGTACGACGGCCCAGATAATTTTCAACATTTCATCGTCCATGGCGCGTTCACTAAAATGGACTTTTTGGGTTTGAAATAAAGCTCTTACTTGTGAGCCACGAAGGTAAAGCCGCTCTCCTCTTCTTTGGAACTCCAGAACTCGTTGAGTTTGTCGCGGAAGATAGAGTAAGCCTGAAATTTCGATCTTGTAGGTTTTTTATGTACTTTTCTACTTTTTTAGCGATATTTCTTTCGGTAAAAACATACGTCATTATATTTCGGGGTATTCGGGAACGTGATAAACCAATGAATCGTCAGCACTCTAGCGCCGATAATCTCGTTCTTCTCGCCGACCACATCCACGCCGTAAATAACCTAAAATTAAGAATGTTACTTTCTGCTTCTTAGTGAAAAATTGAATATTTTCGTTACATTCCCCTTCTTTAAAAAATTTCCGGGCTGCCACTCCTTTTGGGACGCCCAGCTAGGCTCGCCCCCTCGGCAGACAGGCCCCACTCCCTCTCCTCAGGCCAGCGGTCTCGTGGTGTAGTGGTTATCACATCTGTCTAACACACAGAAGGTCGGCGGTTCGATCCCGCCCGAGATCATTTTGTATTTTGTCTTTTTGCTTTTTGGATGGGACCTTATCAGAAGGGTGTTACTTACATTGCCGATGTCCTTCGGCCGGTTGAAGAGGTACATAACGGGATATGAGAGCTGGAGGTTGGGGTTGTTGCGAATTTTTCCATCCTTGAAGAGGGTGTCGGCGTGCTTGAGCCAGACGTTTAGGTTGTTGTTGCACTTCTAAAAAACGTTGTGAATGTTTTGGATAACAGAATTACCGTATCCTTAGCCTCTTTTCGGCAAAAGTCCTCGAGATCAAACTTTTCTTCACCGCTCATGGCCTAAATTTTTTAGTGAAATGAGCAGAATTCGACTACCGTAGTGCTCATCATCTCGTTCGTGTATTTCCACAGTAATCCAAGGTATTTCGATTGGAGCAGGTTGTCAAAGTCCTTGTGGATGACGTAGAAGCGGAGGATGTCGTTTTTGAGGCCGTGGACTGGAATAACGCTAGTTAGCGTGGATTTAGTTTTGGGTTAAAAATAGCTATTAGCGTAGAAAGCGGTGCAGTATTTTCATAAAAGCTACGTGGTTTTAATTGTTTAATAATGGCAGGTTAAGCGAGGCTTTTCTCTTGTCGGAAAGCGAGTTATTTTGGAGCTTGATTTCACAGCAACGCAAAAATGAATGCTGCTGGCGCTGTCTCAGGGTAAAAATATTTTTTATCTATCAAAAAACTAAAGAATGGTCCCCAGGCAGAGTTTTCCATTCCCAATGATGCTTTCAAACGTTACTACGAGATTCCCTGAACTAAAAACAAACTTAATAAAAACCAAATATACTATGCTTTTAAAAACTGCGTCGAACTAAACGACAGTCATGCAAAGCCATTCACCAGTCGCATCATTCTTTGCGCGCTGCTGGCGCTTCTTCTTGCCGGCATTCGTTTTACGTTTTGGGGCCGGGTCGACAATGTCGCGACGGCTGCGGAGTGAAGCCTCGGAATGATGGCCGGTGAAGTTGAGCTTGTGGATGTCGTTCAGCTGCGAGAAGTCGGTGGCTCGCTGGATTCGGGCGGATGCTAAAAACGGCCTTGATATCGAGGTGTAGATTCGTAACATACCCTTCTTGATACTTCCAGGTCCAAAACTAAAATTGTCCAAATCCCAGGACCATTCCTCTCCGGCTTCTCGTTTGCTTCTGGGTGGCGCTTGGGTAGTTGTCGGTACTACTCCATCACCAAAATCGCCAGCAGGGATTCGGTTAAATTCCTTAAAAACGTACGTCTAAGTATATTTTTATCGAGCTGCTACTTAATCCATCATTTTCTTACCTGCTGCCGCTCGAATTCTATCCTCACTGGAGCGTCAGTCGGCACGAAAAGCTTATACAAATCGAGATTCATATCGAGTCTGGCGAATCCGGGCAGGCACATGAGGGTGAAGATCTGGGATCAGCAGGCGTATCAAATTTTTAGACCTTCAAACTTACAATGGAGCCCCAGAGGAAGTATTTGGGATGCTTGCCGACGAGTAGACCATAGCTGAAAAACGCATGATTGAAAAGGTCTGGATTATATACTTGTAAAAAAGCCGGACCATCCCATCCTCCATCGCCCGGCCATAGTGGGACAAGCATGAGGACATGGTCCTGAAAGATGTTAAAATTTGAAACTTATTTGAAAAGAGCTAAAATCAATGAGAAGTTGGAAAAGAGTTGAAAGGCGAAAAGATGGCTAAAGTACAAAAAGTCATTTAATGTGCGTAACTCGAAAACTATTTGGTTGAAACATGGAAATTAAGCATATACTTAACCCTTTAAAGCAAGGAAAGATGGAAGGTTTGCACAATTTTACAGTACACTGTCTAACGTCACTTTCGTGGTCTCCGGGTAAGTTTATGCGCATTTAGACAAGTCAAACAAGTTCTTCTTTCATGACTCATAGGGCATAAATTGGCAGCCGAAAGTCTGACCCTCGTCGTCTAGGGGAAAGCACATCAGCAGAAGGGGAAACTGGGTCAGAACGTACGGAAAGAGGGGAGGGGAGAAAGGGAACGAGTAAGGCGTTTGGGGGGGGGGGGAGGAGAAAGGATGGTGGATACGCCGTTTAGCCATCGACGGTTAGGCGGTTAGGCTGGATTTGCCGATGGGAATGTGGCGGAGGTGATGGGCTCTTTGAACTCCAAAATAAGCATAATTTAAAGGCGGATGGGCACGTCGGAGCACTTGGTATCGATAGGGTTTTCACACAATTCCAGAAGTTTACCTTAAACGGCAAAAAAATGTATTCCGATAGTTATAAGATTAGATAAAAATAATTACCCAAGGTTCTGCCCGTTTTAAAGGGGCAGGTAAGGCATCCCTACGGATTCTACTTCTTATGAATTTTCACACCCCCGCGGTGCGCAACTCGCTAACCCTTAAACCGTTTTGAAGAATCGTAACGGATCGCGCACCAAAAATAAGCCTGCGCGCACGTTGCCTATCGCGATTGCGCAAAAAAATCAATCCACGGGGAGATCATAGCTAGTTCTATTGATACCTCACGCGTCCCTTTAGAAATATTTAGACGCCTACAAAACTCGGTTCAATCGGGTTTCAGGACTTCCCGAAGTGTACTGTCAACGACCACGTCAGATAGTTTTCTATTTAAAATAAATTCATTGTAACATAAATTAAAATTCGATCGATCAATACCAACCCGGCGCCATCGTACCAAAAATGCCACCCAAAGATCGCAATCCACGCGCACCCAAGCTAATAGGAAAAACGGCTAGACAGGGCTAGGAATGGCTGCTCTGCCGGGGGCAAAGCTTCGACCGGAGTGTATTTAGATGGGAGCAAGGCCCGGTTTGCGACTTCTTCCTCCCCCCTCCAAATTCGCCACCACCCGCCACTCCGGCATACACCTCCTCCTCCTTATAGCCGGTCGGGATCAATTCGGGAAAGAAGCCAGGGGATAGACCATTTAGCCATCCCCCTCCCCATTCACGTATCCATTCCGGAATGCCCTCCGGGGAGTGCAAGATACATGGAGTTCTGATATCGGGGAGCTTGTCAACGGACTGAAGGCTAAGTAAAGAGCGTTCACAACATTTTTCTGATTTTGTACGTAGCCACAAATCATAGTTTTGACGGGTGCCTGATTCACCGGCCAGAAGGAAGGAGCTGAGAGGATTTCAAAACCCGGGCTCAAGGCGTCAGAAACTGGATCGAAAGTGGAACCAAAAACTGTTGGGAACGCGGGAAGTCGGAAATGGAAAATCCTTGAGAGCTCAGGCAAAGCTAAGCTAAAAGCTTGTTTGGCAGACGATCGAATGAAGGCCGATCGGCTTTTGAAAATAGTGTATTACTGCAGAAATTCAATGGGTTGGCTACAAAGCAGAAAATTCCTCGGCAGCGTTGCACGCCAGAACAAAAATCAGAAAAATCATACGGGAAACTTCGGCAGTTTTTTGAAAAAATAATAATTTTGGAAAAATTGAAGTTGCTTAAGTCGAGTAGGAGGATCTGAATTTAAGAAAACTTCAACTGGTATTACTGTAACGACTACACCTAGTTGCTATACTGTTATACCTATCGCTTTATGTGGTAATCGTCAGGTCAAAGCTTAAAAAACTTCAAAGGCAAAAAGGCGAAAATGCTATCGGCCGGTGGCCAATTTCTAAATAAGTGTCTACGGTGCAGAATAGACCTCATAAATCGTCTACTGCTACTATAAAACTTATAAGACCTGATTTACCATTAAGAACGGCAGAATTGAGGACTTAGAAATAGCCTAAAAGCTGAACCATCAGCAAGGAGGCACACCCTACTTGCAACATGTTGCTACCCCTAAACAAAAAGAAAGTGACGAGTGGCCTGGGGGTGGTAGACGAGAAGTGAGAACGTCGAGGAAATGGATGGGGCTATTGGTGAAATCCAGGTCTGCGGCTGGGATTTCTCGGCGCGCGCCCGCTTCCTCCCCCCCTTACAGCCCTTCAACCCCCCTCAGCCACTGTGCTTGGCTAGCTGCGAAAGATGTGGGTCAGTGGCGGACTATCAAGCCATTCCTCTCGTTCGCTCATCCACCATTCCACCCGCATCCACACAACCCGATGAGGCGGCAAATCCGGGTTTTTCGCTTCCACCCGAGAACCAACCCTCGCGCGGATCGGTTGATAAAAAGTGAACGTACGTGTGGGGGAGGTGTTGCTTAGAAAAAGTGTAGTTTATGAGCTGTCCTTCCATGGCTTTTAATAGTAACCTAACCGGCGGCAGTAACGCAATAAAACGTTGAACATAAAATTTTCTAGTGGGTTTTATGTACTTTCACGATATTCGCATGCCAAATTATTCATAAACCTCTTTCCTCATTATAATGGCAAGCAGAAATGAGAAAATCAGTCGAGCACTCATGGTACAGGCGCGCAAAGCAGCGTTGCGTAGTGCTTACCAAGCTTTAATCGCGGCGATCACGATTTTTTAGATCATACCTTTATAACTTAGCGTCGGGACCATGGGATATTAAGTGTGCAACAATAATTTAAGGCAAATATATATGTTGTATTTGCAAATATAGCGATTTACAAATACAGGAATAAATGTGATACCGAATCCTTTCAGTATTTCCGTTCTTGATACGACGTTCCTTGAGCAACAGTTTATCCGGCGACGAAAGCACGTTGATGAACACGATAGTCCAACTTGACACCAATAGGAAGTAAATCGAGAGCCCGTGAGAAAAGTCAAATCACTCGGGGCCTACATTGGGGACAACGTAACAGTACGGGCAGACGGGGAAAACTGTGCGTTACAAAACCGATAATTACGACAGGTAATTAAGAACGCATAACCACAACACCTCCCTTTGTTCAAAAAAGAGTTGCTGTGACCTGCGTGAAATGCACAGCGAAACAAACAACAAATGTGACCACAACCAAAAATTGTGACACTAACAACAAACTAACGAATGAGAGAAAAATTAGGCTTGATCCTTCTTTTTTCTCAGCTCATCCGGGCGAACACATGCTTGGGGCACGACGGGAACGCGTCGGCCGTGTTGCCACATCCTTCAGCGAAGCGCTCAGCTTCGTGACACGTCCTTGCGCACGTTGCGCTTCCGTTTCCACGACTTGACCGGGCACTTCCTTCGTTCCAGGCGCACGCTCGCGCAGCTCCTTGATGTGATGTCTCCAAAACAGTCCATCCTCGGACTTGATCACATAGAAGGTCCGATTGATCCGCGAGACGACTGTCCCGGGCATCCAGGTCATTCCTCTATCGCGGCGGTCCAACGCGTAGATTTGGTCCTTGGCGTAGAACCACCGTTCTCTGCCATTCTGACGACAGCGATCCTTTGGCATCGCCTTGTGCGCATCCTTCTTTGCAGTGAGCATCTCCGCGTCCATAGTCTGGCGAAAAGCTTGCAAAGCTTTGGTCGACTTGAGCCAATCCATCCCGAGTAGCGTACATCCATCAACAACGTGACAGGCTCCTTGCAATTGTTGACCATTCAACGTGACCTCACAATCGAACACGCCATGAATATCAATCACTTTGCCATTCGCAGTCCTCATACGCGTTCTCGTGCGCTCGAGTCGCGGTCGACCGAGGCGCATCCAGTCTTGACGATTTATAGTCGTCACATCCGAGCCCGTATCGACACGCATCCGCAGTGGTGTACCATTGATACGCACGGAATTGTACAATCGATCCGCATCATCACACGTTGAATTTACCGCTCCAATCACCACAGAGTGCACTTTCTTGTTATGCAACTTCTTGCGGGGCTGCCTTTCCTCCTCAGCCTCTGACGTTTCCGTCTCGCTAGTCGTTTCCGCACCTTCCTCCCGACTTGCCGCTCTGCTTCTCGGTTTACTTGACAGTTTAGGGCAGTTCCTTATCATGTGCGGGCCTTCGCAATGGAAACACGGTCCCAGACGCCTGCCCCGCCAACTTGAACCAGCTTGATCCTTGTCCTTGTACTTCTTGACATGATCCTTGCCCTTGCGCGCATAGTCGTGCTTGAGCACCATTACGTCCTTGACCTCGGTGTCCACGTGCGCATCAGCCTTGCGTGACAGGAAGTGTTGGACGGACTTGAAAATTTCATCGAGCGTGGCCTCGGGCTTCTCCTCAATGCATCGCATAATTCGCCCTCGAATGGCCTCGTGCTCGCTGCCCTTCAACGACATCAGCAACGTAAGCGACTTCATCCCGTGCTCGGTGATGTCCCTCATCTCCGCACGCTCGAACGAGAACTTGATCTGGTCGATGTGGCGCGCGAGATCATCCGTGTCGCCGCCTGGAAAACGCATTTGAGCAAAAGCATATCGCCGGGAAATCAAAGATTTCACCGGTACGAAAATCTCTTTGAGGACAGAGATTGTTTCCTCCAGCTTGAGCTCCTTGGGCGTTTTCGGCAGGATGTGCTTGACGAATCGCTCATGTGCGGCCTCGTCGAGCTTCTCGACAACGATTCGGCGCTTCTCATCTTCCTCGAGTTGGGTACCGTCCTTCATTACGACTTCCTCGTATCGGGACCACCACGTCTCGAACGTGGCGCCACTCTCTTCATTGAAGACAAACCTCGGCAGTCGAGCCAGTATCGAGTCCTTGAGTAGATGCATACGTGCATTTCCTCCAGCATTGAGCTGCCCTTCAC